AGCCATGACACCCCCTTTTCCTTTCCCTTCACATAATCTTCTCTCTGCCTTTCATCTTCTTCTAGAAAATCATTTCTGATGACTTCCATGATGTGACATTTTTGCCCGTCATCACCTCCAGATGTTCCTGTAATAACTTGTCCTGTCAATTCAGACTCTGCGCACAATTATCACATTGACTCCATGGGAGGGGGAGGGGGGGAGGGGAGGGGTGTACAATGTATACAATGTGACATGGCGGGTAACAGGTTATGTACCAGAAACGAATCCTGCGGATCTTCCTCAATGTAGACCTTCTACACACCAGACACGAGTACTTCTTCTGGTTGTAGAGACGTGGGGGCTTCCGGCCGATGGAATAATAGAGCTTCTGCTGGGTAAATATTGATTGTGGATGATAAATGATGAAGAAATCAGCTCTTCTCACAAGCACACGAGTCTTCCACCAACCGTCCATCAAGGAAAATGTTACCTCTAGAGGCCTAGTGCCCATCCCAGGGCCATATAGTGATTGTTGTGCTTTGCAGACCCCAGAAGTCAGTACTAGGAGTGTAGCATGTCTGCAGTCTCTGATCATCTCCTGTAGCATGTCTGCAGTCTCTGATCATCTCCGTGTAGCATGTCTGCAGTCTCTGACCATCTCCTGTAGCATGTCTGCAGTCTCTGACCATCTCCTGTAGCATGTCTGCAGTCTCTGATCATCACCTGTAGTATGTCTGCAGTCTCTGATCATCACCTGTAGCATGTCTGCAGTCTCTGATCATCACCTGTAGCATGTCTGCAGTCTCTGATCATCTCCGTGTAGCATGTCTGCTGTCTCTGACCATCTCCTGTAGCATGTCTGCAGTCTCTGATCTTCTCCTGTAGTATGTCTGCAGTCTCTGATCATCACCTGTAGCATATCTGCAATCTCTGACCATCACCTGTAGTATGTCTGCAGTCTCTGATCATCTCCTGTAGCATATCTGCAGTCTCTGATCATCTCCTGTAGTATGTCTGCAGACTCTGATCATCTCCTGTAGCATGTCTGCAGTCTCTGATCTTCTCCTGTAGCATGTCTGCAGTCTCTGACCATCTCCTGTAGCATGTCTGCAGTCTCTGATCTTCTCCTGTAGCATGTCTGCAGTCTCTGATCATCTCCTGTAGTATGTCTGCAGACTCTGATCATCTCCTGTAGCATGTCTGCAGTCTCTGATCTTCTCCTGTAGCATGTCTGCAGTCTCTGACCATCTCCTGTAGTATGTTGGCAGTCTCTGATCATCTCCTGTAGTATGTTGGCAGTCTCTGATCATCTCCTCTAGCATGTCTGCAGTCTCTGACCATTTGAGCTGATCTCTTTGCATGGCACACTTTCTTGAGTCCATAGAAAACTCTCCTATCATGAAAGGACTTGTTACAAAGGAGGGGCGTCAGCTTGGAGTTGGCCATGAGTTCAACCTGAACCCAAGCTCTTCGCAGGTCACTGAGCAGGCAAACAATTTGTCCAGGTCTACCGCCCAACCTCCAACTGTGTCTTAGCAGACCTTGGAGCGTCGTTGGTTGCTGGAATGCAGGTTGGCGCACCATGCCAACCTATGACCCTATGGGGCCACATGTCTTAGCAATCAATGACACTGATAGGCAGAGGTCTATGCAGTGGCGTAACAATAGCCATAGCGACTATGTGGGCTCTTCAAGGGGTGTAACTAGAAATCATAGGGCCCCATACAAAATTTTTCTATGTGATTTCTAGTTACGCCCCTGGGTCTATGATAGGGAATTAACATATTCCCCAGAGGCCATTCAAGAAAGGTAACACAGGGAGCACATAGACTTTCAATGTCCACTATTCCTCTCTCTATATATATATAGTAGGTTTTACCCTAAATATGTCAATATCATACTTACCAACACCGTTAATCCAACCCAAGGTCCACATTTCATCCGCAGACTTTCCAGAAGGCACGCCCAATCCTACCCCCTTTCTGGCCTGATCCCACCCAGATCCCCACCCCTAAATATGTAGGGGCTGCCTATCTTATCCACAGTATATATTTGGTTCCAACCAGACCCTGCCTCTAAATATGCAGGAACCCCGATCCCCACAATGAATGCCTTTTCTATCTCTACAACTAAGCCCCTAAGGGTGAAACGTGTCAGCGGAGAGCGGTTTAGAGGTGGGGACGACAGTGTGATCGTTGACAAGCAATAAAGTTTTATCCTCTGTGATGACAGGCGGTGTGCGGCATGGACGGGCTCACGCCCCTTCACTGGCTACATTGAAGAATACAGGAGCAGGTGAGGGAATGGAACAGTCGTCTTTTTTTTCTCCAAATCCTTTTTGAGTTGCTGGGCATGTGCAGTAACTAAAATATAGCTGATGCTGTGATTCTGAGACATGGCCCTGGACACAGCGTCACGAAGAGAGAGGACCAAGAGCAGGATTGTCCTGACAAATCCGGGACAATCGGTATGCAGGGCAGCCATCAGGGGGGTACGGCCGATACTCATGTAAGGGGCCCGGGCAGCCTGGGGGGCCCATCCGGGTCCCTTACATGACTATCGGCCAACGGTGAAGGGGCGAGGAGGCGGAGGCCTGGCCCTAGCAGCGCAGGGCCCCAGCATTGCCGCTCCAGCGGCTTTGAGACAAACTAGGGCCCCATCAGCGACGCTGCTCGTCTGATGTCGGACTGGCCATAAGTGACGTCACGTGGCCACATGGCAGACGAGGCCATGTGTGCAGGTAAGAGGAGCTAGGAAGGAAGGAAGGAAGGAAGGAAGGAAAGGAGGGAGGGGAGGAATGCAGCCCTGACCAGCCCACCTGAGACCCCTTCAGAGCCCACCATAGACAGTCTCAGATGGGCTGATGTCTATGGTGATGCTCCAGCTACAACTGGGGTTCCATGGGATGAGCGAGTCGAACAAAGATTAATACAAATCAATTTCTACCTTCTACCAAATATGGGTTAGTCTCCCCAATTGGTTATAGCCATAACCCAACCCACAATCCAATCTCACTGGTATCTCTGTGTAGATCTATTATTTTAAAACCAATAATTGCCCCTTAACCATTTTTCTACTACAAACGTGGCAGCAGGACCGTGTAAACCAACCAGAGGCGTCCCGAGGCGGGGTGACACCCGGTGCGTGTACCGGGTGACACCCTGCAGTGACGTCATTGCGTACGCGCATGACGTCATCACGCACGTGGGTGATGGAGTCACCAGGGCGATGGAGACATCAGGGATCTAATTGACACCTATTGTCTCCCCTGCACTGTTTCCAAGTAAATAGTATTGACACTACTTGATTTTTCTGCATCCCTGGCCTTCAGTGGCCAGAATTTAACAGCAGTGAACCTGGAAGTCCCAAACGGATTTAAAACGGTAGTTTGAAGCCTTTAATTTGAAGCCCACCAAATCATATATACTGTGTAGTAGCCAGGAAACGTCACGGAACACCTGAATCCAATTATTTGGAGGGGGAGGGGCCAATAGTTTTGGTAATATAGTGTTTATTTTTTTTCAAGCAAATTTCTGGTCTATAATGTGCATTTTAACATGTGTGCATAAAAATTGTAGGCAAGAATACTGAGAATAGACAACATAATAGAAGTTCTTCCTTTGGGGCAAAGCTGTAATTATTGGCGGTTTCCAATTTTTGAACAATATTCAGATTTTTGGGAAGAGGTGGTCCTCCCATTGCAGCATCAGCTGTGTACAGTGAGGAATCAGAAGGGACGTTTCCTCCTTCCAGTAAGCCGCAGCATCCCCTCCGCTTACCATGATTGGCTGCAGACATCATAGGAGCTCAGTGACACCGCACAGCGACATCCATTCCGGAGCCGCGCTCCGTGTCCCTCGAGCTGGCGAGGCTCAAACGGAGACTAAATCTGTTTCCAGAAAGAACATTCTGTGAACTCTGTACAGACATCATGGAAAGTCCCCAACTTCCCTCTGAACTTCAGGCTGCTGGCGCCCAGTCAAAGTTTACTTACTATTCACAGGAAATAAACAAATCATGCCTCTTAAAGGAGAACTCCACTTTGTAAAGAAAAACAACAAATGAACATGGTTGCATAATTTAAATCTGAACTCTGGCTTTCCCTTCAGTCTTCTATCTGACCTCCGTCCTTCCCTTCAGTCTTGTATCTGACCTCCGTCCTTCCCTTCAGTCTTCTATCTGACCTCCGTCCTTCCCTTCAGTCTTCTATCTGACCTCCGTCCTTCCCTTCAGTCTTATATCTGACCTCCGTCCTCCCCTTCAGTCTTATATCTGACCTCCGTCCTTCCCTCTAGTCTTCTATCTGACCTCCGTCCTCCCCTTCAGTCCTATATCTGACCTCCGTCCTTACCTCTAGTCTTCTATCTGACCTCCGTTCTTCCCTTCAGTCTTCTATCTGACTTCCGTCCTTCCCTTCAGTCTTATATTTGACCTCCGTTCTTCCCTTCACTCTTCTATCTAACCTCCATCCTTCCCTTCAGTCTTATATCTGACCTCCGTCCTTCCCTTCAGACCTCTATCTGACCTCCGTCCTCCCCTTCAGACCTCTATCTGACCTCCGTCCCCCCTTCAGTCTTATATCTGACCTCCGTCCTCCCCTTCAGTCTTGCACAATTGTATCGGGTCTTCTTCTGGATTTCACTGCACACTGGGAGCTTCTCACATTACAAGCTGCAGTCCTGGCTGGAGGACTTCCAGCATCAGGGGCGGAATGACTATTTGGGCTCTCAGGCACCCAAGGGCCCGCGACCAGGTGGAGGCCCCTTGCCTCCCCTACTGTCCGCCCATAGTTGACAGTCCCGTTCAGGGCCAAGCAGGGAGTGCTGGAGCCAGATCCTGCCGCTGGGAGAGTAGACTCAGCTTCTCCCTGGAGCTGCCTGAGGGCCTGCTGCCAGGGGGGGGGCCCTGCCCCCCCCCCCATAGTTGCTAATCCTGCTTAGGGCCACGCAGGGAGTGCTGGAGCTGAATCCTGCTGTTGCTGAGCGAGGAGAGCTAACTTCACCTGGGAGCCGGAGAGTGCAGCAGCCGAGAAGAAAGGTGTGAATAAGGGAAATCTGGCTGGATGGGTCCAGATTCCATTGTCAACCTGCGGAGGACTGTTAGTGTGGTAAAGCAGGAGGCTGGAGGTCTGGGAGGTCATGATCAAGGGTAATCACTGGCTGCCCTGTCCTGACCCATCACTTCCCTGCCAAGTACACCACCCATCTGCCATCCAGCCATGGCTTGAGATCTGTCCATAGAATGGCTTGCCTGGAAAAGTCCCAGATCTTGTTTGGCATGGCATGCCTATACAGCTATTCTTCATTGCAGGGGCATTGTCAGGGTTTGGCTCCTGGAGTTTGTATTTTTTTTTTAAGTCGATCTGGTCTACAGCGCTCATTTTTTGGAATGTGACAATTAGTCTTTGTTATTTATATCATCTTTTACTCTTTTTTTTTACTATCTTAAGGAGGCTGACAGTCCCCAATGTATAGTACATAGTGGACATGATAGACCCTCCTTATTGAAACAACAGAGAGCTTTTAGACCCTTTATGAGTCCCCATCAAGTACTGACACTACTCCATTTGTTTACATCACTGGCTGTTAGCGAACAGAGTTTGACAGCCGTGAACCTGGAAGTGCTACGAGCAGAGCGCTTCCGGGTTCCAAAAAAGAGGGTTATTCAGCAATCCTGCTCCGCATTCCTGGAGTTATTCTTGATTGTTACTGAAGCCAGAAATCCAATGGTGAGGCAGTTACTCCAAGTAACGCTCAGGGTCAACACCCTGTAACGGGAAGTACCTGAACCTTCATGGCACGATCCCCAGGAAATATTTTAATGAAAATTAGGAGACTGAAAGATTGAAAGCAATTTGTAAGAGACTTACCTGCAAACTGGTTGCTGCTCAAAGACGTGCGCACACATGAGCATGCAATCCTATATTGAAACTTCCAGGCAAGCGTGCTTTGGCACATAAACACATGCGTATTGGAATGTTCCCTATAGAAACTGACAGAGGCCATTGTCAAGTTGCGGAGTGGTCATCCGCTAGTCCCTGTGTGCCCTGCATCCTGTTTCTGAATTCCCGATTTCCTATGCGTCAACCCGTCTTGTGACCATTGACTCTGCTTCCTCCTTCTGATTTGGTATCTCGACTCTCTGCTCTCCCGTGTATGACCCTCGCTTATGACTCCTGACCCTACTTCTGATCTGTGATTTGGCACTTCAAGATCCTGCTCCTCACGTATGGCCTCGTCTTGAACCTGACTGCGCTCCTGGCCTGCTACTTGGTGCATCGCTCCACCAGTACCCTGAGCGGCTTCATCCAGCCAGTGCTTCACTGGCCTCACACCTGTTACCTGGCCTAAGAGGTCCCGGTGTCATCCAGGTCCTGCAGACAAGCGTCTCCACGAAAACTGGCCAACCACCAGTACCAGCGCCTGTGCCTCTCCCCATCCTTACATCACCTGTCACCACCGCCAGGGGTGTGGGACTTGAAGTGCATGGGCAGCCCCCTTCTCAGTTGGGTCTCCAGTCAGGTACGTGATACAATTGTTGAAACCTCATCTATACAGTAAAGTGTTTATGAGATTTTAGAGGTTTACCTCTACTATAAAACAAACCCAGGTAATATCCATGGGTGATAAACTGCGATCCCTACATGTGAAATACACAGATTCTATGGTAGGACTGGTCTCGGTAGTCAAAACCAAGAACCTTTTAAAGTGGACCTTCCATGGCAAACAGAGAGTCCACTTTTTTGCACGCCCCCCTACCCCCCAACAAATTATTTTAAAAGGCCTTTTTTTTTTAAATAAACCATTCCCTGCCCCCAAACTAAATTAGTACTTATGCCTCAACATCCGATCCCTTAGGGCTAGGGTTGCCACCCTTACTGTAATCCTTACTGCGCCTTACTGTAATCCATGGTGGTTTCCCTTCTCTTTGCTGCTCTTCCTTTTAAATCTGTATCTCTTCTCATGCTGGGGGAGAACTTCTGTTTTGCAGCAGACTGCCTTGTCTCTGGAATGGATACACGGTGTCTGTGTGTAGTTTTGCAACCTGAGCCAGCACTACAGGAAGAGGCCCTCAGCTGCAAAGTTCTCCCCCAGCATGAGAAGACATGAGGATTTAAAAGGAAGAGCAGCAAAGAGAAGGGAAACTACCATGGATTACAGGAAGGCGCACATTACAGTATTGTTTTATGTTAAAAAATCTGAGGGTTTAATGTCACTTTAATAAAGTTATAAAGCGGATTCACTTCCTACATTCGCGTCTCATTTGTGGCATCTGTCGGGATCTTCATTTCCTGTTCCGCGATGTAAAATCATTACATTGATCATGTTTATGATGCGGTGATTGCCGGCTCCCATCTGTTTTGTAACATTTGCAGATGGCGTGTCACTGATTTTTATGATCGGATTAATTGATCCTCCGAGCTTCTGCCCGCTCGCTCATTCGCCGCACACATTCAGCGACCTTCAGACGAGGGAGGATGTTATCCTTGAATCCTCATTTGCTGCTCTGGCTCAGATCCATCTTATAAATAAGACAACATGTGCCAACGAGAGAGAGAGAGAGATGACAGCTGCTTTATCAATATAAAACTCACCGGGTTACAAAGTATCTTTTTGTAATAATTGGCTGGTATAATCCACCGCCGGCCTCATTAACTATTTCACAAGCAGCCTTTAGGGTGTAATACCCGGAAGCCTGAATATTACGTATGGGTGTGTACGTGATCTTGAACCTATCACTAGATAAACAAGGCAGCTCAATAAATCAAAGTGCTACCTTACAGCAATTGGCTCCTGGAATGGGCTGGGTGTCCGCTATCAGCACTGAGCTCAGGCAGGAGACATGGAGGTCTTACAGCCCAGCATTCAGCTTGACACTCCTGTTTTGACAGGGAGAGAATATAAGTAAATAATAAAAAATACAGTATTCCATGAAAGGTAAGGCTTCAATATTATATCAGTTTAAAGTAGAACCAAAGCCAGAACTTATTTTTAGGTATGGGTAGAGTAAGGGAAGGTTATAACTAGGGATGCACCAATATATCGGCCGCCGTAACATATCGGCCGAAGATGGCACTTTTGGCAAAATGCATAAAGTGCCATTTTCTGGCCGAAATAGCGGTGCGTCCGTTCTTTCTTTCCTCCCCGCTAGGCGCTGCTCTGTGTCCCAGCGGGGAGGAGAGAAACTGTCACAGGAGGCCTAACGCTGCGGGAGGAGAGCGATGTGAGCGTCCGGCGTCTCTCCTCCCCGCACCGCTCAGCCTCCTGTCACATATCAGAGGAGAGCATGTGGGCGGAGACAGCCCGCGCTGTCACAGGAGGCCAAGCTCTCCTCCCGCACCGCTCGCTCAGCTTCCTGTGACAGCGTGTCAGGATGGAGAGCGGGTACAAGCAGTCATGTGATCAGTGATCGGTGAGTGTTTGTAGATAATTTCTGCTCGGTGCCTCTGAGGGACCGAGCAGAACAGCCGAGCCAAATGCTTTTTCACAGACATCATTGCAGCCTGTCTTCTATAACTGAATAAATATGTCTGGACACAGAAAAATATGTCACGTTTCATGCTGTGCAGTCCTGATCAACAGCTACAATTCACCACTAATTATAAAATGATCCCTCAACCCTAATGCATCCAAACCCACATAGTAGCTGGATTCCAGCGCTGGTACTTGAAGAGGTGATAGTATGGCGCCATCATGTGGTCAGCTTGCAAACTGCTATTGCTGATACAATACTGAAAAATCAGCAAGAAAATTCCAATATTGCAATATGATTTTGGGTACTTCCTTACATATCTGTCACCAAAGTGCATGTAGATTGTTGTACTAAACAATGCTAAATACTTCATACTACTTCATACTAAAAAAAGGAATAAGTATATGGGAAGACTTAAAGGAGAACTATGAGATGAGTGCTTTTCACTCACCTCATAGTTCTAGCCGACCTGTGACAATGAGACTGTCACAGGTCGGCTCAGTAGATCGGGAGGTGAGCGAACACATACCGGCGTTCGCTCACCCATCGATCCTGTCACAGCTCTCTGCCGTGACAGGGGAGGGGCTGTATTCCCCCCTCCCCGCTCCGATCTGCCAGCGCTGACTGGCGGAACGGACGGGGGAGGGGGCGGGTACAGCTGGCTCTGCCTCTAGATAGGCAGAGCCAGCTGTCACTCACGCAGCTGGGCGCATCTCGACATCGATGTCGGGATCCGCTCCGGCTGCGGCGTCTCACTATACCGCGAGCTGTAGCTTCCTATATACTGAGCTTAGGGACGCTAGTTTGTGTACTCCCGTTGCCCTAAGGAGAACTATGGGGAAAAGCCCTGACCCCCATAGTTCTCCTTTAATTCCAGCTTCGGTAAAAATGAACCAAAGGTGTCCCCGCAGCAGCTCTTAAAGAGAAGCATCTCTGGCAGCTATTGTCATCTCACCTATGGTGCTGCACCCCACAGAATCACACAGTCACTGATCTAGTGCAGCTCCTCTTCTGGCTTGAATGTAGCTTATTATCATTTAATCCTTCCTGTGAGGGTGTCATGGCCCCGCTCCCCACCGTGGATTCACAGAACAATGTTGTAGGGAACAGCGCCAATTCTTGGTGGAGCCGCTCTCAGCAATAATTAGGATCCACCTACTGATGGAGGAAGAAGAGGGTGAAGAGGATGCGTGATTGACTAAAGTCTCCTGGAAATAAAGGTATTTACACAATTTTTTTTTAA